CCACGTTTGGGCATGAGTCATCACAATGGAATGCAGGGCATCAACCAATAGGCATGCAGCTTTCCTCTATTCTTCTTGCTGATTGGCTGTTGGGATTTAACTTGATTAACACTTGCACAGAGCATTTCCACCTGCACAGAGCATTTCTTGCTGATTGGCTGTTGGGATTTAACTTGATTAACACCTGCACAGAGCATTTCCATACTGACAGTATGTCTGTATTCAAGTTGTTTTGGTAGGTTATTTCAAGTCTTTTTCTGCTCCAGCATTGGAATGGCGGGGCATGTAACGTTTTTTTTATTTTGAAAATCAACAGTTTGCATTATGCAATTAAAAATCCTAACCAATAATGTAGGGAATAGCTATCCAACTGTTGTTTTAGTTGTATGTTACTTCATATTATAGTTATATCAATGTAAATCATTGTTTTCCCTTGTGTTTCTCATTCTTTCCCTGCCATGTCGTAAAGTGTGGTGAACCCATCGCTGTATTTGCTCCAAAGCAAATATTGGCCTTTCTAGTGTTTCTCATTCTTTCCCTGCCATGTCGTAAAATGTGGTGAAGCCATCGCTGTATTTGCTCCTAAGCAAATATTGGCCTTTCTAGTTAACATTTGTTCTCTCAATCTTTGCAAACCTTTACTATTAGCATACTAACTTTACCCATACGTGTAGTACACTAAATTACCCTATACATGTAGACACACACATTACATCCTATGTCACGTAATTCTCCAATCCATCACTATAGTTAGAACTACACACGCTCTTATCTAAACTAACAACCTGCCAGAGGGGTGAAACGAGTCTCTACAAGAAACTATCGAATGGAAAGCCGTGAAATGACGGATGTGTGTGTGTGTTGACCCCGATTCACCCTGCAGTCAGACATCGGCAATTCTCACTTAGGCCGCAGCAAGTAAATTTTATGGACGACATCAACCACAGACTCCAAATCTGATGCGATAGGGCGAAAAAAAACAAGCCGGGCCAGAAAAAATAAAGATTTCTACATTTTCTACAAAGATGTCAAATTTTGACATCAGCAACCTTTTTAAACAAGAAATGATACATATATTGTGCTAAGTTTACTGACAACTATTACAATGTCCATGTGAAAATCACATCCACTTTGAAAATTTGTCAATCATTTTACAAATGGTTTTGGTTCCTTAGGAAGACCGCATAGAAAAGGAATGAAATACATCACTGCATTAGTAAAAGCAAAAGACAAAACAATAGATCAGAGCCTGTTCACCACTGTCAGAGGGCAAAAAAATGCTTCTTTTTTTTTCCAAAAAATCAAGCGAAAATTCATGCGCGCGCTGATATTATCCACAGCAAGTAATTTTTCTGGATGACATCACCGCGCATTAATTTTCGCCTGATTTTCGGGAAAAAAAGAAGAAATTTTGTTGCCTTCTGACAATGGTGAACATGGTGAAAATGGGCAAAGGTGTCTGTTGCCATGCCGGAAGGTGGATGGCAGATAACTATAAAGAGAGGAGACAAGAAAAGGCTCTGATTTTATGTTTTGTTTCTTACTTTGGTGCAGTCATATGTGATGGTGGCTGTGTATATGTGATGTTCCCACTGAATCAAAACCATGTGTACAATGATTGAGTCAATTTTTTTAAATGAAATAACGTTGTTTTTTTTCGGCCCGCCTTGTTTTTTGTCGCCCGCTCGCATTAGATTTTGAGTCTGCGGAGGATGCCATCCATAAAATTTACTTGCCGTGGTCTTGATTGTGATTTATGCTGCCGTTTAAAACAACATGGCGGATTGATGTTTTCCTTAATTACCGCCGGTCGTATTTATTTGTAGTGGAGATAAGTGAACGTGTACATTGCCATTAGGCGCTGCGGAGACAGAACGCAGATGGCTCTACACCCGTCTAAACACGCCTCACATTATCTATAACAGCCGATCTGGTTGTTTCGGTGACTAACGGCTTTAAACCGGCGAGTTGCCCTATCATGTTATATGTGGGCCCGCATATTGTATTAACGATATATTGTATACGTATGGTAAAATTGAAAAGCAGGAAAAGAATAGACACTTGAATCAATGTTTATTATATGCAAAATACGCCATCTTTAAGAGTGCATCATCGAATAACAAGCCATATTTCTGTAATACATTATTTTCATATTGATAATATTCGAGACGAACATTCATAACATGTCACACCTTAAATATGTATTATTATATTCGTATTAAGGGGGGCCTGCCACACGGTTTTCGTTGTATGTACGTGTATTTATATATGTAATATTTCTTTAATAAACGAATAATAAAAAATAAAAAAAATAAAAATAAAAAAAAATATAGGGGCCCGCATGTCCTTTTCCGTGGAGCGTTATCAGCCGTTTTAATTCTACATATACGTAGAGCGTAAACGGACTGATCAAACTCAAGTAGAGCGTAATTGTTGCATTTTTAGAGCGTAAATACCTTCGCCAAGGTATTTAGAGGCTTTCGTGAGTGAGTGTGTGTGTGTGTGTGTGTGCGCGCGCGCGCGCGCATGTGTGTGTGTGTGTGTCTGTGTCTGTGCGTGTGTGTCTGTGTGTCTGTAAGCACGATAACTTAAGAAGGCTTAAATGAATTGATTTCATATTTGGTAGGTGGGTAGGTCTTAATAAGACCTCAAAATGATTAGATTTTGGGCCCCCTAGCAACTTTTTATAGTACTGCAGCTGAACATGCGGTTTAATATGACCAAGACCAGCTAGGGTCACAAAATTTAGATGATAGGTAGCTCTTGTTCTGGGGAATTAGTGTAGCAAGTGTAACAAGATTTGGAATAGGCCACGTTTTGGAATGCAATACAACGCACATTCAACTTCATGTTATTCCAAAACATATTTTGGAATGGGCCACAGTTTGGAATTCCAAACACTGACCTGGTCAATGACCTGAACCAGACCGTCTGTCACCATGGTAACTGGTGTGGGTGGACATCATGTTGCAATTTAACAGTTGGAGGGATTTCGACTCCTGTCACAATATACACATATGTGAATGTGTTTGAGTAAGAATTAACAGAGCAGACGATATGCGAAGGTAAACATTATTGCTTTGCAGATGTTACCTTTATAGTTCCAAGTTATGTTTTTGAATGAAACACGTTTTGGAATGCAGCAACGGGTGACATATACATCTTTAGCTATCGGATGCTAAAGAGCGTCCTTGGTATAGTGACATTTTATGTAGAATTTATACTTTGTTTAAAAGGGACTTCGGTCAGACATATGCTGCAAAAAACACATGCTAAGTAAAGAGTAAAGACGACGAAAGAACAGATGCTTGATAACGTGAACATGTTGTACAAATATTTTAATCAGAATATACAGACGCAATCTTTTGCATACCCCTTGTGGTATTTTCAACGTAAACACACACGTATTTATGTAAATAGAAAAAGCCATTACGAAGTAGATACAAACTAAGATATAATCACCACACATGGAGCTAACAACAGTTGCTGAGAAAAATACATACATAGGGAATTTTACTAGGTACTGTTCATTGTCAGACCATTCGTTATAATTTATCATAGTTTTAACTTAAATATTTTATTTCTAAAAGATTCATTTTACGAAAAAAAATTATGCACATTGTTTTTGCACCTGCTTAAAACGATTTCAAAACACCCAATGCGATTTCAGGGCAGCAAAACTTGATTTTTCTGGTCATGTTTTAAGATAATATAGAATCTACCCTATCCAAAGCATACTGATATCCGTGATGTAAAATGTGTTGTCGCTGATAGAAAACGGTTGCTAGCGCTTATACTTTCTATGGTAGGCCAGTTCTAGCAATCACAACACAAAAACAGACATTTAAGCAAACTTTCCGCAATATGTAAAGAAGTCTTAAAGGTGGAAAAATATTTCAGTTGACTTTACGACTTCGTAAAGGCCACTGACAGGCAAATTCCGCCTTTCCGTCACCTTTCAGGGCGCTTAAATAGGTCGTAAATATATTTCATATCTTTACGCTTCCTTTACAAATCCGTAAATATCTATTGTTGTTACAAGAAAAATAATGGGATTCCTCACGTAGTTTGTTTTCTGCTATTTCAAGTATGAAATGATGAAGACAATGGCATATCATATTTTGTTTTGCCTTTATGTTTTAAGGTGCTGACCTAGACGGGGTAGTCTCCACCAGACTCCTTTTGCAGGCTGATAAATAGTAGAAATTTGCCTAAAAAGGGAATATCGTTGGCCAGAGGAGATGGCCGCCATAGAATCTCTCAAATTTCTACTATTTGTCAGCCTGCAAAAGGAGTCTGGTGGAGACTACAGACGGGACAGAATTAGGTACAAAGTGTCAGCGACCTTCCCCTTTAAACAGATCACAACATGCTGTCATATTATACAAACACTGCCAATCAGAATTTCCAACCCGCGTTAAGTGGTTGTTCTAGTAATTGTGAGGGAACACTATGTTGTGTAAATACTTTAATATAAGGCCATTTTGATTTGATTATATGGATGACATCCCCTAAGAACCTCCAAACTGATGCGAGCGTGCGAATAAAAAAAGTTTGATAAAAAAAGTTGCCTTCATTATGAAATCTACATGGTCATGAAGGTTGAACAAATGACACAGTATGGTATGGTGAATAATCTAGTCTTCAAATTCATTTCTTTACATTTTAGTCTTTTTAATTTGATTTTGGCATTCTACGACATTGGTATCGTCTTCCAATATTTTTTAGTTTGCAACTTACAGTATGTATTTGCTCATTTTGCAACTGTTTTGTACGATTTACAGTATGGTTGGAAACTTTTTTTGAAAACGGCCAAAAATTCATGTGCGCACGGATGTCATCCATATAATCAAATCATTATGGCCTAAGTATACATACCCTTAGTCATTGCCCGGTACACTGAGTTTTACGACGTAAATACATGTAATTATGATAGGAGTTGGAGGAAAAACAATTTGTTTTTCAAATATGATAACAAAAAACACGTCAAAATGCAAAACGCTATATATTTCTCAAATGACAGTCAACCTTTTAAACATACAATAGAATTAGAATAAACAAAAGTTATCAAATAATATTTTGGTTACGTATTCTTCGAGATGGATGTCTGGTCAAACTTTGACATATGATAACTACAATGTAGTAATAATAATGTTATATCTATTATTAAAATATTTTCCTAGTGTACTGAGGAAGACCAGAGTGACTGGTCGAAAGCTTTTGAGAGAACTTATTGTTTTGGCTCGAAAGTTTTAAATTTAAACAATGTTATATTTGTTTGTGACAAGTAATATGATATTTAAACGAGATTTGTTCCATAGACTGCATAATGGTTATCTCTGTCCCTTGGCTTCATGAGTGTAGTCATAATCATACTCATCATATTCATAAAAGTCCTCCAAGTCTGTCGGGTCCTGCTCCAATATTACCTTCTCCTCGCGTGTTGCACCCTGGGAGATATCCCCGCGATGCCCGGATGGAGACCACAGGGAATCATGGGAACGCGAACTCTTCTTGTGCCTTGCGTTATTTCCTCTGGAAACGAGACTTCGGAACGAGAGGAGACTTTCAAGGTGCTCGAGTTTCTCTTCCAGACTTGTTTGCTTGCCGATGACGAGGGCCAACTCTTCCTCGTAACGCCTGATTTTGTCTTGTTCGTATTCCAGCTGCGCTTCAAGCGTGCCGACGTTTTGCTGCAGGTGCTCCACGTGTCTCCGCAGGTGTCTTGGCAGAGGTGGGCCGTCGGTAACAGAGCTTAGTTCCGTCACTTCTGATTCCATCCTCTCCCCCTCAGATACCGCGTCCGCCATTTTCTTCTCCAAGGCCGCGACTCTCGCCGTTAAGTCTGCGATGATCCCGACCGACTCATCGTCCGCGATTGGCCGAGTGTTTGCTCTTCTGTCGTCCGCGGAGCGGCCTTGCTGTGCCCCGATGACAGCACGGTTTACAGAAGAAGCCTCGGCGGCCTTCCTGTCCATTCCGAGCTGCCTCTCGGCGTCGATCGTCGCCGCTTGTACTTTCATCCAGAACTTCGCCAGGGCGGACAGGTCGTCATCGCCCTGTTGTCTGTCACCATGGCAACCAACGCACGAGGAACCAACGTGGCGGGAAGTGGATTGATCGATAAAAATGGCCACCAAACAAAAAGTAACGACAAGAAGCGATTGTGCTCTCCTCGTGTGTTCAGCCATTTTCCATAGGTTTTGAATTACATGAAATCCTGGAATGGCGTCAAACGGTCCGTATGTCATACATGGAATGCTCTCCCGTTGTCAGATCAGCTCTTTTCCTCGTTTAACCTGCAAAAATAGAAATATTGACTTGTAAAAACGATAGGTTTATTGCAAATTCCTGCCCGAAGACTAATTGCAAATAACAAAAAAGAACATTGAAACAGGGTACAAAATAACCTCAAAATCTACATAATAACACAAGGTAATAGTCTAATACTATAGCTATGCCTTAAACTATGTCTGAAGGGTTTGACATCTCTTATTTAAACCATTGAAGACGTAATGTCCCACCTTTTCTAAAATTTGTAGTTAAAAGGGTAGTTAAAAGAAGTATGTTTTTTTTTCTTTGTAAGTTTGGAGAAATTGGGCTATATTGTAGAAGTTTGAATAGAAAACTAATTTCGAGCGTTGTTATGAAGCGAACAGTTTGATATAAACGTTCGAAATGAGTTGACTATTCAAACTTCTACAATTTATCCCAATTTTACTAAACTTACAGACCAAGAAAAAACTATTCTTCTTTTAACTTCCCAAAACCCACTAATTTCAGAAAAAGTGGGACATTACGTCTTCCATGGTCTAAAAAAGAGAAGTCAAACTCCTTAGACATAGCTTTAGACATAGCTATATCTCTAGACAACTACCTTTTATAATGTAGATTTAGTTATTTTATACTACGTTTCATTGTTCTTTTATGTTTGTAATCTGCAATTAGCCCCCCGGGCATGAATTTGCAATAAACTTCTTATTAAAGATATAAGTGTATTTCGTCTTCCATGCACAGCGTTTGCACTACAAGACTATAAAAGCAGTGCTTTAGAGTGATTAAGTTGAAGTGTTTAACGACGTTAGCGTGTTTGTCATGTGTCATGCCGTAATCCGGATGTCGACATGGGGAGATTACGATCTTTTGTTTACCGTCACCCTGACGGGTTCTCGTCTTGAACATCACTCCAAACGTGAAATCTACTGACCCGTTAATCCAACCGATTAATCTATAGGATTAAGACAGGCGTGTTAATCTAGCCTACATAACATGCCAAAAACTGGGGGGTTTGGGGGGTCTCCATGGTCTTTGGGAGCTTTTATGTGCTATTTTCTGATCGCATATAGACAACATAGCCGGCCTGGTTGAATTACCCCCGTTTAGAACTGGGCTAATCAGAAAACAGCCGAAGACCACCAATCCCCTAGTTTTATAAGCCTGCTAAGTAGGCTAGTGTTCATCTGTGTGTGTGTCAATCTTGAGGCATTCCAATGTCGATAAACCCGTTCAATTAGGCATACTACAGTTATTATAGTACATGTCGTAGGCAATTTACAAGTATTTGTTTTGAAAACACCTGTATGTGTTACAAATGGAGCGCCCTGTAATGATGTTTCACAAGTGTCGAGAAGTACATATTTGCTGACCATTTGCAGTATATCTAAGGCAACACCAATTGAATTTGTTGGTTGTCGGATTTTCTCAGAAAAAAATATGAAGCGACAGGGCGAAAAAAAAAGTAAAAACAGGTCTAGGCATCCTATCATAGCCCCAAATGCTATGATAGGAGCCATGAAGTCAACACAAAATGCTGGAAAAAGTAGAATTCAGTCAAATAGAGAGATAGCATGCCAGGGGCTCTCTGCAGCAGACCAACTCCCCTGGCATGCTATCTCTCTATATTTGTCCGATTTCTACTCAGTCCAGCCGCCTCCCGAAGCCTGGTAGAGGCTAAAGGCTAGCCAGCAGTTGTATGACCTAGTTTCTGTTTCCCCAAAGGCGACCGCCTTTCCACACCTCCTATATTAGAACATTTCAACCAAACATCAGGACATTTTTGTAAGACGACCGACGCGCTAGGGGCGGTGACCAACCCTGACACTTCCGACAGTGATGGGCGTGTGGAAACAAACACTGTCAAGCACTGTTTGTTGGCATAGCAACAGTCAGCACCTGAGTACATCTAAGAAACCTTGTCATAACGAGTACCGTTAGGCCACAGCAAGTAAATTTTATGGATGACGTTCGCGCGCGCACTGATTTTGGCCTCTTCCTAGAAAAAAAAACAAGAAATTTCGCTTCTTGTAACTATGACCAAAGAGTCACGACAGTGCCACAAATCGTCAGATTGAACCCGTAACGCGAAGAAAGTGTCTATTGACAGGACCATCCTGTCAATAACAGAAAATTTTTTCACTGTCCACTGTTCCACCTGATTTATTGCTGTTTTGATGATGAATAAAAGACTTCTTGCTTGTTACACTGTGTCACCTCATTCAATTTGTGCCCTAACATTTGTCGTCTCTTAGTATATTTCTAATCTAGGCATCTTGTTTTTTAGGGCCCTTCTTGTTTTTTTTCGCCTTCTCGCATTAGATTTAGGGTCTCCAAAGGACGTCATCCATAAAATTTACTTGCTGTGGCCTTAGGAGACGACTGGTGAAAGACGCACTCCGGACCCCCATATATAATTTGCGAATTTTTCACGCCCTACTTTTTTTACGTACAAATAGAAGGTCAGCTTGGTCTTTGCCAATTTTTTGGGCGGCAAAACAAAAATGTTCTGGATAAGGCCATGCTGATTTGATTATATGGATGACATCCGCGCGCGCATGAATTTTCGGCCGTTTCCAAATAAAAAAAGTTTTAAACCATACTGTAAATCGTACAAAACAGTTGCAAAATGACCAAATACAATCCGTAAGTTGGAAAAAGAATATTTTATACCAATATCATAGAATACCAATATCATAGAATACCAATTATTATAAAATCAAACAAAAAAACGAAAATGTAAAGAAATGAATTTGAAGAGTAGATTATTCGCCATGCCATACTCTATGCCATTGTCCGACCTTCGTGACCACGTAGCTTTCATAATGAAAGTAACTTTTTTGCCAAACTTTTTAAAAAATCTGATAAAATTTAAAAAAAAATTAAAAACTATATAAAACATTTTATAAGATTATTTTAATACGTAAATGAACGTGCCTACACAGAAATGGCCCAGCTTAGCTACGATCTAACTTAAACATGTTCCTTCTGCCCTAAAACCATTGTCCGCGATCTGGCCACTAATCCTTGTAACAACATTGTAAACTGCGTCATTTGATAACGGAGGATCCCTCTTAAAGAGCAGTCTTTAAATCTCTCACGTCGCGCTTAGGACAATACTGACAGATCGTATCTCCCCGGACCTAAGTGACAGAATGTCCCGCTACAGGAAACGCCCGGCCCGCCCGCTAGCCCGCCCCGAGGTACGCAAACATATCTAACGTTACTACAGATAAAGCCGCTGTCACATAGCCTGGTACCCAGTCTTATCGTGGTTTGAGCTTGGTACTTGGGGCAGGCTGTGTCTTCGGGGCTCTGATAGGTTTCCCCCCGCCGCCCAGTACAACAGGTGGCCCGGTAGGGATAATCAATCTCCCATCGTGAAATACCTGCCGGGAAACCTAGCTGAGGCGGGCGGGGAAAAGCTCCTGTAGCCCCGAGGAAAACCCGCCCCAAAGACTGGATACCAGCTGCAGGACTTCCTCCCGACCACCAATCACCAAAGTTGGCTGTAGCAGTCTGACCTTATTCAGGCCACGCCTACCTTTTGGTACGAATCCATGCCCGTAGCCAGGGGGGGTTTGGGGGGTTCGGAAGAACCCCNAAGGCTCAAAGGTGCACTTTTTGGCCACTTTTTATGTTAAGGTCCACTTTTTTGGTCCACTTTTTTATGTAAAGGTCCAAGATTTTTCTTGAAAAGATGGACTGGAATCATAGAAAAACTGCTCCCTTTGTCATTGAATGAAAATTTATCTCTGATTCTTTCTTGGAAATCCTCTCAAAAATGCACGAAATGCCATTTTAGAAGGTTCCTTTTTCAAAAATTTTTCCGGGGGGAGCATGCCCCCGGGCCCCCCCTAGGAACCTCGCGCCTACGGCGCTCGAGGTCCCCTCAAGCAGTGGGAGGAACCCCCCCCCCCATTCAAAATCCTGGCTACGGGCATGGAATCGAATCAATTTTGAGGTAAATTTGAGTCAAATTTGACCCCCCAACACGCAGGAAATCTGCTGACCTACTACTCCTGACCACCAGTCAACCATCAATCAATAAATCAATCAAATTGTAAAATCGTGAAAACAAACAAGAACGTGTGGCCATTGGCTAAACCATGTCCCAACCTCCCGTCCACACCCGAATGTTTGAAACACTTTGAAACATACCCGAATGTTTGAAACACTTTGAAACATTCGTTGGTGCAGCCGACCACAGCCGACCTTGCTCCCGACCTACTCCTAACCACGGTTGGGGGGAGTTTGGCCGTGCATTCGGCTATGCATGGCGGGCTTGGGACAGGTAGAGCGACTGGAGGGTACTTCACAAGAAGAAATATTTGTTGTAGAGGGTCTATCAGCCTATTTTTCAGTCAGACGAGACGGCAGAAAAAGACAGTATTTCGTCTAGATTATAGGCGCCCGAATCCCCTTACACACCCCGACTATAGCCTAGATTCCAGCCGTTTCAAGGGACCACACTTCATCACTATGTGGCCCCTTGCTACATTTTAGCACCATCCTACATGTAGTCTCGGTACCAGACAGTTATCAGGGCCATTATGCAGGCCATATCCTAGGTTCCAGGGCGAACATTACCCTCTACAAGGCTTCAGCAGGCGGTTGGAAAGAGTAGAAATTTTGGGTGCGACAAACTGTTCTCTCCCATCAGACAATTTCTCTATTTGGCCGATGTCTACTTGTAGCAGTGGCTAGTTTCTTACATACTCTTCCCAGCCGCCTCCCGAAGCCTGGTAGAGGCTAGCCAACATATCCCTCAAAGAAATTTTCAGGATCTATCTGAAGTACTTGCCGGTGTGCTGTCCCCAACAACAGTATACATTCGGGCTGGTACCATCCTTTTCCCCTAGCTTCCCAACACTAAACAATCTACTGGCACTAATACGGAAAATGCCATATTCTCCTGTGGTTTGAATGCTTCCGGTTGTTTAGGATTTCCATACAATTCTAGCACACCGCAAACCGGTAACAATTGTAACTAACGAAGCTTACAGTGAACACGTTTAGGGTGACAATTTC